AAGACATGGCTCCTCCATCTAAAATGAGCTCCCGCCCCCCTCTTTCAGGCTGTTGGGCTTGGTGTCCGGTTTATCAAGTTGGGGGGTCTTTCCCGTGGTGAACGAGTGACTAAATACAACCGCCTTCTCACTATAGAAGAAGAACTTGTCCAGAATGGAACACTGGGTATGTGCTGCTTTCTTGCTTTGTTTTCACTTAGCCATGAATAAGAGAACAAAGATTGGAAGAGGGGGAATAGAAGTCCCTCTGCAGGAGGGCAGGGGAATCCAAAGACCATACATAAGTGCTGACAAAACTAGGATGGCACTTGCCACAATGTATATTGTTGTCTTAATGGATCATCTATTTACCTGAATGTTTAAAACTCTCGCCCTTTTTCTTGATGAATAGGCTGCACGATGCTCTTCAATAGAATTAATTGATCGGAATTTCCAAGCCTACCTTTTGTTATGGTCCAAATTATACTTAAGGTTTCCCTGCATAGCCCATGAAAGTTAAAGGCAGACGCTTTCCTGGGGGTTCTTGAAAACAAATCGTTTTACTTAAAAACAAGTAGGCAGTGTGTTAATTTTAACATACCTTGGAAAGGTTAAGGTCTCAAGAGAAATAAATCAGTCATTTAACGAAATCAAACCTTTGTCAATCTACATGGTTAGAAGCACCTTGTATACTGGGTAACTGGAGAGAAACACACCAAATATGCATTTTTATTTTCTTATATTACTGATTGTGATGGCCAAAAGGAGGCATATAGCATGCAGTGGCATTTAAAGAGACCAATAGAAACTGTGATTATAAACGTCATGCTTAACATGTGTAGCGGTCTTGAAATGCATCCTAGGATTCAGAAAATAAAGAAATAATTGGGAGACTATTTCTGAGTCACATAAGGGCAGTCAAAAGAGTCTGTGTTTAGTGTGTAGTAGAAGGGCTAGTTTTTTTTCAAATAGGTAAAATTAGACTGTTCCACATATCTGATTATTTTTCCTGGCATCCTGACTTGTGGAGGCCTTAGCTTCCCTGAATGACTGATGCCAGTTCCAGCCAGACGTTACCACAAGGTAAACAGCTGCTGCAGGGCACCCAAAAGGACTCCGGTGACCACAGGCTCCACCCCTCTCTGGTGACAGTGCAGCCCCCTCAGCATTCCACAATGGATTAACAGATGGAGGAGAATTTCTCTGACACCGGCCTTGGTGAATCATTATTAAAGGGACCCAAAACTGGAAAAATAAATCTCCCCACTCCCACTTTCGAGTAGGAAATCTTGGCAAAAGCTCAGCCATTACAATGTTGTCAATACTTACATGGAAGGACCTGACTGGAGCGGTCCTCGCCTGCCATCATTTCCCTGGGAGCAGTCAGCTGGCAGTGGCTTGTATCGTGCATAATACTGGCCTTTCCCCCAGTTCACCATCTTCCTCTTAACCCTTTCTGCTAAGCCTCTGCCCAAAGTCCATGATGCATCATCAAATGTTCCAGAATGAATGTGAGTGCAAACAAAAATGAACAGAACATCTGTATGGCACAATTAACATATAACCAAATACAGGCCCAGTTGTAAATGGTTCTGGTATCCTTTCCGATGGTGATGTGACACTTTTGGACTAGTACTGAAGATGATCTCCTTCAACTCATGTAATATATAAAAGCTGGCACCACTGGATTAGACCGTAAACTTTATTGTTACTTTTTTTTTTTAATAGGTTTCAATGAAGAACGCACTTTTTTTTACTTTAATGAGGAAGCTGAAAAGGCTGCAGAGGCACTTGAGGCTGCTGCGGCTAGGGAGCCACTGGCACCCACCTTCCCCACACAAGGTGTAGAGGAATCAGCCGAAACAGGAGCATCCTCTGGATAGGGCTGTACACACCCCAGGTTCCAGCCACACCGTCAGTATTAGTAGACTGGGAGGTCTGATGTATGGCGCCGTGTCTCCACATCGAGTTTCCTCTTCAACTTCACCAACTCCTGTGGTTTTTATTCTTCTAATTCCACTGTTTGGTAAATTACATATATGGTGTTCTTGCTTGAAATTCTATCTGTGAACTTTGTTTTGAAGCCACCACACTTCCATGCAGATTTTGTCTTTTAGCTCTCCTGTCCGTTTTTCAGGGGCACGCTCCAGTAAAAGAGGCCAATATTTTTGTTGTCAACTCCACACTCAATCAAACACCCCATCCTTTACCAATCAGAACATCTCTGAGAACAAAAACCTAATGACCCTAGAAGCTCTCTGTGCTGGGAACAGATGTCCATCTTCTGTGTTTACTCTACGTGTCTGTGCTGAAAAGCACCGACACATTTTTGTAGCCAACCTCACGCAGAAGTGCGAGAGCGTCACTAGTTTTTTTAACAGCCAAACAGTTTCATCTCACTTTCCTACCCTTAATTCCCTTTTCCCTAATTCCCTCTTCTTTTTAAATTTTAGTTTTTCTTGTATTATTTTTATCTTTGTGAGTCTTCTTGGATCCTTTTTGGAGTAAGAATGAGTATAAATGAATAAGCACATCAGTAAATGAATAAATATTCTCAAGGTTATTAAATGCCCAGTTATTTATACTACAGCATTTAAAAAGCAATCCGCAAGTGATAAAAAAAAAAAAAAAATGATGTGACATATCCGTTCCCTGAATTGCCTCTTTTGTAAGCCAGTGTTGGGATTATAGCAGAGGAGTAGCAGAAATAAACACAGTCAGACACAAACATAAATAGAATAATATCCAACCACTTTATATGATTTAGGGTCTCTGTTAAAAGGGTTACCATTTGCTTCTCCTAAAAATTATATAAATTGCTATGTACTGACCTGTAGGGGAGTTGGCTAAGTTTGGACTTCTGATAAATTCTATAATTTTTACTAAGCACACTGAAGATCTCTCCTTTTAAAGAGTACTAACAAGGGACCTTAATTTCCACATAACGAAGCCAACTCCTTATTCTCAACGCTATCATTTGAAACTGGCTCAGGTGCAGACTCTCTCAGAGCAAGGGGCAGGAGACTTGGTTGGTGTCACTCTAAGTTGGAAGAACTGTGTCACGGTTTGTGGCTGCTACTGCCTCTCCTGATGCTTAGCAACAAACAACGGGTAGGAGAAACTGGAAGGAAAATTCATTTTAAAAGCAGAACAAACATGACTGGGTGTTCACATACCCTTTGAAAAATACACACACACACACACACACACACACACACACACCATGAGAATATGCCCTGGAACAGTGATATAAATTATAATTAAATTACTAAAACCAGAGCAAAAATGTACAACGAATAACAAAATAACTAAATGAAATTAACCAAAGAGGTGATTTATTACCATAACCAGGTCAGCAGTATAACTTCAACACAGAGCAGTTTACTCACCTATCCTCGAGACTGCGCTCACCAATGGATAATTAGCCTTTTAATTTAAATTTCTTAGGGTGCTAGGCACTCTTTCTATTTATGCTTTCTGTCTCTGTGTTATATAACATATAATATGAAATATATTTATATAATCGTATATATAATATTATCTGTGAAAGAAATGAAAGAAACAGTCATATCCCAAATTAAAAATGACTGTGGGATGGGGAAATGTCAGTGCTTGGAAGAGAAACTTCAAACCACTCCAATCCTTATGCAGGGACTGCTTGATGAGTCTTCGAAGGTCGGTGACAATGACAGATGGTTATCCATCCTCAACAACTTCTTGGTATATAAGCTAATGTTGTTCCACAATGCCACAACGAATATAACTAAACATGTAGAGTATGCATTTAGAAAAATAATCCAGACTTTAAGGCTGTGACACAGACTATCATTTACTGCACACACAACCAAAAACTGGTCTGGAAAGACAATGAACAATAATTGTTACCTGTACTGCTCCATTTCTAGCAGTTTACCATTAACAAAGAAGGTAAGGAAGGAGCAATTATTGGTGAGTAGTTAGAGCCAAAGCGTCCATCCTCCTTACTCAGGGCAAATGAGGCTGGGTGCTAACAGCCCTGTGGATGCCTGCCAGTCAGAACTTCCATGGGACTGTTCAGCTGCTGAAACTACCGTGGGTGAGGACTTTGTTTGAGACCAGCTCAGATACAAAAGGGTGCAAGTGCTTTAATTAAAATCTTATTCTTCCAGAAAAAAAGAGACATTTTCTTTTTCTTTAATAGCAGTGGCACAAAGTACCTCTACCTCTTTGCCTCACTCGGGCTATAAAATGCATCAACATTAGATTTAAAAAAAAAAAAAAATCCTCTATAGCACACAAGACTTAATTTATCTTTCCCAAACAGAAGGAAGCGTAAATAACCTTTTAGAAAAATCAAACACATAAAGATGCAGTCTCTTCCAACTTAAAATCGTGTAAGCAGGATGTATGTAAGTTTTGTGTGTACAATAGCTATGAACATACCTTGCAGATACAAGCATAGCTCTCCTCTGTCTTCCTATTTGGGATCCCTTGCTTTGATTGATAATGTCACCCCAGCCAGGGGCAAAACCCCCTCAAAACCAAAGTGAAAAGGGAAAAACTGTAGGCAGAAAAAGGTGAGTGGATATCTTACATCAAATACCTTTATGTCAAATTAATTTAAAATGCTTTGTAATCACAGTGAGAGAAAGTAAGCAGCTTAAAAAAGGCATGAACACTTTCAAAATACCTGTTACTAATTGTTCCCTAGTCCAGCTAACACATTTCACCCAAAGGGCAACTTCTTACTCTAGAAAGGAGGGTGTTTTGATAACCATATTATTCTGTTGGTGGTGTGATGAAATATGGAAAGACAGTGTGTATATTTTTATATTCCTAAATGCATGTGAGTTGCATCCTGGCAGACAGATCACAGATGCAAGGAGGAAGACAGCACAAAGAAACATGAAAGAAAACTCAATGAACCATCTTAGGGACTATTAAAAATTACTAAAGTTGTCAAATCGTATACAATTTTCTATTAAAGAATGTCAAGCTTGGGGAACTAAACCACAAACGTTAATAATAACCACAACTGACCCTCAATGGGAAAAACTATTGGTGCCTTTTTAATAAGTTGTGGTGAGGAGAGTTCAAATTACAGGACATAACAGAATTTGTTTCATGAATTAATGCAGTCTGTAGTTAGCATATCATATAGCAGTATTATCCAGTTAAGGAAAGATACAGTTGAAAAACATTACATTTTAATTCCCCATGAGTAAAGTGATAAGTAACTGTCAAATCATCATTGGGAGAACATGGAAACAGTCAAGCATAACGAACTTACAGAAAGATAATTATCTCCAAATTTAGGAAGTACATGTACCTGCCTACCCACCTCTGCAAGCCTATGCTTACCACACGTGCAAAAATACAATACAATACAACTACTGCAATTATTCCTATCATTTTCTTTTGCGCTTAGGTGAAAAACACCTGACAGCTACATGCTGAGCCATGCTAACAAAACTAAACCTTTCACTTTCTTTAATAGTAAAATTACCATTACTGAATCATTGTCATAAAAAGTGCATTCAAGTACATTACCACTTATTTTAAATAAACACCAATTTTGAAACAATCAACTTTGAAAAGCTGCATAAGTTTTTTTTTTTAATCCCTGATTACATTTCTATTTATTCACTGTGGTAGCCTGAAACATTGTATTTTTAGAGACTAACTACCGCTTAATTTCTTTATTTAAAAAAACAACAACAAACCTGTGTAATACAGAACAGCAGTGAAGCAAGAAAAATGTGTGCTTGTCACTTATCTTCACTGTACTGTACCTAAGAACTCTGATAAAATATGGTACTTGTGCCACATTAGTATATGGGAAAACATAATTAACTCATAGCACAGAGCACATGGTTTACCAACATGTTACTGTAAAATTCAAGGTTTGGACTTTCACCTCAGTTCTGTATTCAGGCTACCAGAGCATCCCCATGGAGGTCCTTGGGAGGCTTTGGACACAATCAATAGCATGTATTTTTTCATCCAATAGTTAACAATGTATGTAATTAAGACTGACTATGGGACTACGAGTTTGATGCCAGCTCCTGAGTTTTAAGTTTATCTCAGTCTACCGTAGAAAATAACTTGTATGCCACAGTACCCAACAATTTCCACGCTGCTGCAGTTTCTCCATCAAGAGGATCAGACCCAAACCAGAAGCTTCTTTGGGGGCTTTAAAAATCACATTAGGTTGATCAGTTTTGTTTATCCAATTATTTACAAGCACCTCAAACTTTTAGCATTCCATTTGAGGAGTGGTATGCACATTTCCTAAAAAGGTATCAACATCTGCATTTTTTTTGTAACCTTCTAAAAGAAGTCATACTTAATACAGTAACTAGGAAAAAAAATATCCTTATAAAGATCAAATAACCAAAACCTAATAGGAATGTGTTTTGCTAAACAGCTTACTTATGTTTATAGTTGCTACTTACAAAAGTAACACCAGAAAAAAACCTGGATTCTGAATACAGAGACCAGAGCAGAATGTCTACAGCCCATGCCAATATACCAACACTCATCACGTGCTTATTGAAAAGGACTTCCAAACATGTCAGGCTTCTGGTTTCTGGATCAGCAGTTGGAGCTGTCTGTCTCTCTCACGTTTTCAATGCTGTCTTCTTTGTTTTCTGGTTGGACTTTGCCTTCATCCTCCTTGTGTTGAGTTGGATCTTTTTCAGCAACCTGGTCTTTGGTTTGGGGTTCATGTGTAGAAACAGGATCTAAAACTACAACTGGTTCGACTTGTTTTTCACCGTCAATGTATTTTTTCCTGTATCCAAGGCTACTGGGAGGCCTATGAGATGAAGAGTTAGACAAAAAAAGTAAAAAGCAGAGAGAAAATAGTTGTCTCTGATATTCTGGATTCAGATCAACATACAACCCAAAATGTTCTAAGTCTAGTCAACATGCATATAGTAGTCTTTGAGATGCCAGCCATTTAAAAGAAAAAGTGAAGCTATCGGATTACACAGCTGATACTAGGAGCACAAGGCCAGAAGAAAGAAGGCAGAGAAAAAGCGATTAACTACAGAATTGTTAAAAAGCCAAATGCACCTACCTGCTCAATTGCATTCTCTTCTCGGGAAGCGTAAAGCTCATGGACAAACTGTGAACCTCTCCCGGCCTGCTGCCCAGACTCCCACGCGCCCTCACTTAGCTGGATGGAGCCAGTTAACTCCCTTCCCTCCTGCGTGTCCCTGGGTATGGCTGGCTGCAAGGCAGCCCTGAGGAGGCTGCCTGGACAAGGGGAGTAATCACCCCTCATCACTGATGGAAAGGTGAGAGGCATGCCGGCTGCTGCTATTACCAACTACAGGAGACCTGGTCAGGCTTCAGGAGGGGGTGGCGGTAGGACCAAGGGCAGAGAGAGAGTCACAGTAGAAGCTAAAATGCTAAATTACCATTAATGTTTCTAAAAGGAGAATCAGGTTTCTTGAGAAATTTCTTATGGAATTTCAGAGGTGGTTTTCCACAGACTCCTCCTCTCATCTCTTCTGCTGCAAGAAGCTATGGCTCCTCAGGCTGAATGGGTGTGGATTTCCTTATGGAAACAGTTATCTCTGAAACACTCAAAGGTTCAGGCTGCTGAGCTGCTGCCTGAAGATGGAGGCAGCTGCAGGGGGCAGGGCTGGGGCTTTCGGACTTTTCTGGTCTTTCTGGAAAATGCTAGGATCAGGCCTTTTTGTCCCTGAGAACTGGCTGTTAACCATGACCTGGCACAACACCATCCCACCTCTTGGTGTTCTGCCAGGTGCCAGTGAACTGCTAGCCAGTGCCTGCCCACTGCTCTACCAGCCCCTCACCAGGAGTTGATTTCTACTATTCTCTAACCCCTTCACCAGGTCACAGCTGGCAGGAGACACTCTTTTACCACCTAATACCTCTCTCGTTGGACTTACCACAATTGTTTCCTGTCTGTCTCTTCCAATAGCATGTAAACATCTACGAGGCAGGGACTATTTAGCTTTACTCACAATTCTATCCCCAGTACCTAGCACAGATGCATTCGTGGAATAAACGAATGGGCAAATACTAATAAACTGAAAGGTTCAGAATTAAGGGGGAGAAATCAAGGTTTGGGTGTGAGTAGGTCTGGATGTCTCTCTTGCAAAAACAACAACAGAACAAATGATCAATTACTAAGTGAAAGTAACCTGCATGATCCAGTCACGGGCACAAAACCTCAAACCCAAAGACCACACTGTTTTTTTTCACTTTCTGACCAGTACTGTAAGATCAGTCCAGATGTTTAAAAACCACTCCCTCTGGCTATCAGGTTATATTACCTATGTGTGGCTCGGTCATCATCCTAAGTGACAAACACTCTGTCTTCCTTGGAGGTGGTAAAAACAAAAATAATCAGGAGCCTGGGTACAGGCTGTGCTGCAGTGAGGACAGATTCCTTTATTTTGGCCTGATTATGGCACCATGACATTGTCCATCTACCTTGGCCAAGGAACTACTTCTCCAGACATCTGCCGCTATGCTTTGGGAATCAGAATGGGCTGTAGTTTCTCCAGTGGTACCTGTTTTGACTGTCTCTGACCCACACAATATGTAAAAGCCTGTAATGGGAGAAGCAGAACAACTCTGAGCAGTACTAAGGATTGATCGGAGGAATTAGACCTTAGGGAGTGGAAGGCACTAGTCATGCAGTCTAGGTAATCTGCTGCCTCTGCGTCTGACACTGGGCCTGCAGTCAGCTGTTCTGACAGTTGGGAGGGAAGGTGGCTGTAAAGTGACAGAGACTGAGGACAAACTAGAGCTATACCTATCTATGTCTCACAAGCACCAATCTTGATGATGTAAGACAATATGCAGGATAAGCAGGAGCCTTCCCCAAGGAGCTGCACATACACCTGTCCCAGGATTTGGAAAAGCTGGAGGAGGAGATGTGGGGAGCTGGAGAAACTGTGGGCCAGTCACTGCCACATGCCAGTTAGGTGAGTCAGGACATCAGGAATGTCATGCACAAGCTATAACAGAGCCTGCCCTACACGGACCTTCCGAGGGTTAAAAAAAGTTTTTTTAAGACAACTACTTCACTTCTGCCTTCTAAATCTCATGCAGATTTATCTGTGGGCAATTCTAAACTGAAAACAAATGAGTGAGGGGATTCTAGGAAATAAAGTTGCAGCCCAGCTAAGGTTCCAAGGAAAGTCCCATCCAAGTCTGCAGGTCGAGTCACCAGTATGATGGCTTCACCATCTTGGGCCTGGGCCCACTCTTACATAAGCCAGCCAATCTGCTTTCAGCATGCAAAGGAGGTAGTATTTCTCTCATTCTAGGTGAGCAACTTCCATCAACCCGTACTAACCTTCATCACTTTTGTAGAACTACCATGGATGTTTCCATGCTCGTGTGTGTCTGCAGGTGAAGGGGTGGTGCACAGATCCTAGAAAAAGCTTTCTTCATCAGCTCAGGGCTAAACATTTCCAGGAAGTGCTCTCTGGGCTCCACAGCAGCAATGCATGGATGTTGATTGAACTGAAAACTCATAAACCTAGTATTGTCAGGCTGAAATTGTCCTAGAATTGTCTCAGTCCAAAGAATGATTTCCCTGCCCTGAAGCAAGCTTCTTGACTGCAGATTAATCTATTATTAAGTCACTTATAGGCTACAATTTGAGAACCCCTTTGTTATCACTGAAATAGGTGCAGTGGGCATTTTCTGAAGCTAGGCATGGAGGGAGAGTGACTGGTTTCTCAAGGATAATGACCACTGCCTTAGAATCCCAATGGAAGGTGGAAAGGGACCAGGGCAATCGTCTAGTCTGACCTGTCCTTTTACAGATGAGGACGATGGGGCTTGAACTCTTGTTCTGAGTCTGCCACACGGCTCATCAGTGGCAGACTCAGAACAAGAGTCAGAAGTTCCTGTCTCCGTGTTTCTGCCTCTTCTATGACAGCATGCTGTTTCTCAAAGGCATCTTCTCCTAGAAACAGGAGGCTACAGGCTAGTTTTTGGCATGTTTACCGATTTCATTCTTTCTGAATCCCTGTTTCCATCCCCATCTTCCAGATCTATAAATAAAAAGTCTACCCCTTCAAGCTATCCCTCCTTTTTAATTTCTCCCCTGTGGTTTGTAGCTCCTTCTGGCTTGACATCACTAGGTTCACTCCTGGCTCCCACGGGCAGCTGCCCAAGGCTCCTGGAATGAAAGGCTTTTCCTTCTCCTAGGCCTCATTCTACCTTCATTCCTATTGTATGGGAAGGGCCACAGAGCCACATCAGTGATGGTGCCAAGAACCCAGGTTCTCACTCTGGTAGTCATGGTGGCAGGTTCTAGAGGGTTAAATATGAAGCTTCTCCCCAAGGGAGAAATCCCAGAAGCTCAAATGCAACACTTCAATAGGAGTTGTAATATACTGTCATTCTGTTCAGGTTTTCTACTTTAATGCAACATCTAAGGACTAAGACCACAATAAGGAATTAAATGTCTGTACTTATAAAAAGTAATGGCAACCTGTCTCCTGCATGCCGCAAAATCTGAAAGTAAAAACTTACATTTTACAAGTATCACTTATAAAGTGAAACTAAAATCGTGGGATACTTGGGCAGTCAGGGATCACCATGGTGAGCTAGTCTAACCTCTTCATTTGTCAGATGAAGCGGCCAGGGAAGAGTGAGGTTAAATCAGCATACAACTTGTTAACAGCAGATACAGGACTAAACTAATGGAATCTTGATTTCCTGTCCAATATCTCCCCCCACCCCGCCTTTTTTTTTTGAGATGGAATCTCGGTCTGTCGCCCAGGCTAGAGTGCAGTGGCGCGATCTCAGCTCACTGCAAGCTCCGCCTCCCGGGTTCACACCATTCTTCTGCCTCAGCCTCCCATTTCTTACCATAACATACCGGTAGTCATTTATGATCCATTCATGTAGATATTTTTCATGGGTCATATTAGACTGTGTACTCAAAGGCTATTTCAAGACAAAACCAAAAACCAAAAAGCAAAATAAAAGCTAGGAGAAATATACCAATCTATGCCACTCTATGAAGCCTGGTACCCAAGTACAACTTGGGTGACCTTTTAGAAAGCAGCCACTGTGCCCCTACTGCAAGAGAGCCCAAATATGGGGCCTGAGCAGGTGGGGCAACTTACTAGTAAAAAGAAAGACCTGACTCCAGACTGTACTGGTACCAGAAGAATCAGAACGATGGCAGTGGCCACGCCAACACTGAACTTCATACGGGGACTCAGTGATTTCTCAGACTGTGTTACAAGAGATGAAAGTGCAGCATTCTAATTTTTAAAAAGCACATCATTGTTTGCATTCAATGAAATTCCTTTCAAAATCAACTTTCCATGTTCCAATTATATTCAACAACATTCTAGCTAACATTTCGGCTGCAATTCAAATTAACTAATGCCCAAAAGAGCCCTAATCGACGTGGTTCTGAGCTCAATTGAATACAATCAAAGCTCATGAAATGAAGGGGGAAATGCTTATTTCATGCAAATTCTGCATATCACTCAAGCTTAATTTTACTGATAATATAAAGGTGGGACATTTTGAACATTACAGTGAATGAACTTTTAAGCGGTGAGAGTTATTTTATAAAATGCTACCTCTGAAAAGCTGATTGCCAAACAGTATAAAAATGGTTTGAGGCATAAATGCCAAGTTCATTTCTATTTCACTTCTGAGGTAACTATCTTTCAAATCGCAACAGCTGGACTATTTAACACAATCTGGTGAATCAAAGTATAGTTCTTCTCTGGTCTCCCAGTAGGATGTCTGCATTAGTCGGTGGCAGCCATCCAACAAATGACGCACAGCCGGACGGTC